GGCCCCGCCCTCCCGCCTTCCGGCGCCGGGGCCTTCCGGGTCGCCGCGGTCCCCTCCGCCCCTCTCCCCGCCCGGGTTTGTGCCTTCCACTGACATCCGATCCCGGAGGGGATGACCCAGTGGGCGGGGATCTGGAGATGCGTCCCTGCTGCCCTGTCCACGCCCGCCCCTTCCGGCATCTCGCGCTCCTTTTAGATCTGTCTCCCTTGCATCACCCGGGAGGCCCTTGTCCCCGTTGGCCTGGGCGCAGGGTCTCAAGCCCTTAGGGCGCTCCCCGCAGCCTGGGCGAGGGAGAGGGCCCAGGGGCACCTGGAGCTGCCTGTACTGTTACTCTGGTGAATGAGTCTCTCAGGCGAGAGTCAAATGGTTTCAGAAGGAGCAGTGTGAGGTGGCTTGTGCTTGTAATCTCAGCCTTCTGGGAGGCTGAGGCAGGCGAAGTTCCAGCCTGGTTGACGTGGTGACTTAGCAAGATCCTGTCTCAAAAAATAAAGTAAAAACGGGCTGGGGATGTAGCTCAGTGTGAAGGCCCTGGGTTCAGTTCTAAGTACTGAGGTGGGAGACAGGTGAGTAGCGCAGGCACTGCTTGCGCCGAGGCTCCAGAGACCGGACAGTTCCCATGTCCAGGGTGAGGCTGAGTCAGGGAGCCTCTTGGTCGGATCAAAAGGAGGACTGCAACAGGAGAAATCAGGAAGAGTACGGTAGAGAGGCCCGTGGAGAAATCCCCACCCGGCTCCCGGGCACAGGGCTGGCCTTCGACCCAGATCCGAAGGAGACTCCTGGAGGCTTTCCCAGGACCATGGCTCCTCTTAGCCCTGACAGCAGCCTGGCCGCGCAGGCATGTTTGTCATCGTCACGTCGCAGACAGGAGGATCTAGACACAGAGGGGTTGGGCCCCCCAGAGCCACCCAGGAAGGAGACATCAGGGTGTAGATTCCAGCCTGAGTCCGTCTGGCTCCGAGCGCTTGCTCCTGACCTGCACTCTGCCTGGCTGCCCTGGGTGCTGTGGGCACCCAGGGACACAAACCTCTTTTCCACTGCCAGGGTCATTTTGTTACATGTGTTCTTTTTGGCCCCCATGGGAGAAAGAGCCAAAGCCCGTATTGCCCAGATTCCCACGCCGGAGTGAAATAATGCAATCCATGACTGAATAGGAGCTGTGTTTGAGTTTGGGTGACTTTCAAGGGTGAAAGTTAACGGAGGCTAAGAATAGACCAACTAGCGGCGCGGCTGCAAGCCAGTGCAGGAGAAAATGCTGCTCTTTTTCCTCAGGCAGCTCCCTCTGGCGGCACCTGAGAGAACAGGACGCGCCTGCTGACGGCGTCCTGGAGACTGGAAGGAGAGGACCAGCAGCAGGGAAAGATGCTGGGAGGGAAGAAACCTCAGAGTCGGAGAGGAGGAAAACTGTAAGTCTATGCACATCTTCAACTGCTCAGCAGCCCGGGACTTTCATTCTGCAGTGAATGAAATCATAAAATAGTTACACACACTGAGGCTCAGAAATGTCATACTTGGAACCCATTACTCCTAGTGGCGGCCAGAGGCCTCCTGTAACATAGATCCTGGGAGCAAGGCACACAGTTGAGTCTGCAGGGTGGTCAGTGTGTGTTGCACCAGCACCCAGAATTCTTCCACAGAGCTGATGCTTCCACTGTTGTAATGCTCCTGTAATTCTGTCCAGTGAGCTTGGGAAAGTTCTTCAATGTCCCTGCACCTCCATTTCTTCATCTGAGGAATGACACTTCTAGCAGTGGCCTTCTCCAGGGTTGTGCTGAAGGGTAAAGAAGGTGATGTGTAGGAATCACATTGTCATAGGGTTTAAGCTTCAGTGACTGGCTCGGGAGCCATCCAGGGGATTGGTGGGGCACACTTCTAGGTGGGTCATGGAGGTGTGACCTTGGGGTCTATGTCTGGTCCCTGGCCTCCTCCTGTCTGGTATTGTTCCTGTTCTGCTTCTCAGCCATCAGCTCTGCTCCACCATGCTGTTCTGTCATGATGTTCCTCCCTTGGAGCCAGCTAACAATGCACTGAATCCCCTGAAGCCATGAACTAAATTGAACACTTTAAATTGTGGCTGTCAGGCATTGTGTCCCAGAAACAGTAAAAGCAATACAAGTATTCTTGCCAGGCATTCTGCTGGTGCATGCCTGCAACCCCAGTACTCAGGAGGCTGAGGTAGGAGGATTGCTGTGTTCAAGGCCATCCTGGGCTACATAGTAAGTTAAGCACCAGCCTGAAAAACATAGTGAAACTCTATCTCAAAAAATTATTCTTGTTTACATGATAGGATATGAAAACGAACAGCTTCTCCAAAGTCCCAATGTGTGCTGTTCATTTAGTTTATTCCAGCCCTGACAAAGCACTCTTTTCCTGAGGGGCTCAAGGATCCCACAGGGAGCTTGATTGTGCTCACAGAGCCAGAACTCGAGGCACCTCCAAGACCAATGCTCTACACAACACTCTCGCCCGAGGATGAGGACACCTGTTCCTTACTTCCAGGGCTCCTTCAGGATGAAGGCACCTGTCCAGACCTGGGGTTGGATGGTCAAACCCTGTAACCTCTCAGTATTAGCATACAGGCAAACTTGGTATCATTTGAAAGTTAAATTTTATGTCAGTGTTCTCTTTATTTTCAATTGCCTCAGAGGAAGCAACATAATGTGTTTAACATTTAGGGATTCCCAGGGGTTTTGACCCAGCCTCTCAGCCACTCACTTGCCCCAAGGCATCCTACAGAGCCAGTGTAGCTGGGTCAGGAGAGGACTCCCTTCCCAGGACCTCTGAGTCCTTAGCCTCAAAGGGCTAAAGAGGTACCCCCTACTCCTGGAGCCCGGGATGCATACTGCCCCTCTTACAGGGGGTGCCCAGCATACTGATGGCACATGCCAAGCACGTTAACTTGCTTAGACAGGCGGAACAGTGTACAGCGACCAGAAAGTTTAAAAGAGAAATTTACTGTCTCACAGTTCTAATGGCCAGATATCTCAAATCAAAGTGTCAGTAGGGCCATGCACCCTGCTATAGTCTAAACATTGGTGTGCCCTCAAAATGCATATGTTAAAACTTAATGCATTCACACCAGGGCCATATGTGCATGATAGTCCCATGCTACCCAAGGGGACAGTCATGCGAGCACCACTGGTGGTTCCAGCCAGTGGGAACATGTTAAGCCCCAACAGGGTGATACTGTAAGAAGTGGCCTTTGGGAGGTGATTAGTGGCCTTTTAGAAGAGGCTTGAGGGACACACCAAGAAGATGCCTTCATGAGATGCGGGCCCTCACAGACACAAAATCTGCTAGTGTCTTGATTCTGGACCATGAGAAATCAATTTCTATTTCTCTAAATTATTCCAATCTAAGTAAGGTATTCTGTTTTAGCAGCCAGAATGGAGTTAGACACTTTCTCTGAAACCTGTAGGGGAAGATTCCTTTCCTGCCTGTTCCTGGCTTCTGGTGGTGGCCGCTGATCCTTGGTGCTCCTAATCCTCCTTGGCTTGCAGCGTTCTCTGGCTGCTGCCACAGGCTGTCCTCCCTGCATATCTGTGCCAATGTCCACAGTTCCCACTTTTATAAAGACATCATTCATACTGGATTGAGGGGTCACCCAAAATAATCTCCCTTTTATTTGGTGTGGTGGATTGACAACTGGTGGTCAACTTGTAACACCCAGCTGAAATGAACCAGCGTGGTGCTGGGTAGGGGAGCTCACCTGAGGACTGTTGCCAGCAGAAAAAAGGAGAAGTGGAGAAGAAAAAGAGGTGCTGTTCGGGAGCTGTTAGTTCTCCTGGAGGAGCTTGTCATGCTGGCTTTCCTGAGATGAACTCGGCTGTTCTCACTGTCGGAGGAGCTCGGGACCTCCTTGTTGCTGAAGCTAGCTGTGCTACTTTTCAGGGGAGCTTTGGTCCTCACTTGAGTGTTGCTTCCTGGCTCCAGTGCAGATCCCTCAGCTTGCTAGCACAGATCCTTCATCCCACTGGCACAGACTTTCTAGCTTCCACCACTGACCTTTGGGCCTTCCAAGTGCAAATCCATGAAACAGACCTGCATGAGACATTGTCATGTGCTCTAGGTCTTCAGCTGGACTCATGCAGAACATTACCGTGGAATCCAGGCCCTCAGCGGGATTCTTTGGGTTTTTAGTGTGTGGAAAGGTTTCCTGCATTGTCTTTGTATATGACTCTTTGGGTGACAATAAAATCATCCTATAAATTATGTGTCCTGTATTGAATTGTTTTCCTTGACTGACTACAACATTTGGTTACATCTGCAAGGACCCTATTTTCAAATAAGGCCACATTCACAGTAACAAGCTTGGGAATGCATATCTTTTCTAGAGGTGATACAGTTCAACCCATAAGCAGATATTCAACAAATGTCAACAGTGGCTATTATAATACCACGTGCGTGGTGCACACATGCCCACTCCACGGCATAACAAAAATAATATGTGCAGGCCAAGCCTATGTCAACATCACCGTGCAGGGGGACCTTACAACAACATACTTTGTACCTCCCCCACGTGTGCAGGTGACTGTTGTAGTGTGGGGTTTTGCAAGGGGAACAATATAATACAGGACGCATATTTTATAGAATTATTTTATAATAGTCACCCAAAGAATCATATACAAAGACAGTGCAGGAAATCTGTCCATACATTAGAGACCAAAGAATCCAGGTGAGGGCCTGGACCCCATAGTATGAGTCCAGCTGAAGACCTAGAGCCCATAACAATACCCCTCACGAGTCCAACTGGAGGCCTAGAGCCCACAACAATGTCTCATGCAGGGCTGTTTCATGGATCTGCGCTGGGAAGGCC